TGAACATTTTACCAAAGGACTTGTATTCAAAATTATATCTCCTTTTTAGATGATGCTCCTCTCTACCCAACAGTTTGAAAAGTGGGTGTTTTGATATTTTAGTTTGAGCTGGTTATTTCTGTTCACAGGCCTTCTCAACTTTGTCATCTTGCAGAAACATCTTCCTTTCCTTCATAGTTGAAATCAGAAGCTGACTATATCTGATCATCCCTAACACAGTTAATTAGGTACTCATTATAATATCCTGTGTTCAGATATTGAAGAAAATAATAAATAATCACAACATTATATGTGTACCTGCTCTCATCTAGGGGAACCATGTAACAAGGCTGCACCTCTTTGTCTTCTTTTAAAGAACAACACTTTTCAATACACTGAAATGTTGAATGAAAAGCAAGCTATCCATCTGAATATGTAGAAAACGTTCTCCTTGGCTCAAAAATGGATGGTGCAACAAGGAAGCAGCATAGACTTTGTAATACTTTATTTTTAAAGCATACAGCACTGTACAATTGTGTATACATCTATCAATCATTTCAGTTGAGTACCTAACCTTTCTGATGTGGTGATTGGAATAAAGGAGGAAATGAGCAAGATTTGCAAAATATAACCATATTACCAAAGTGTTTTTAGAAGATGGATATAAATATGACATCTTTATTATTTGTTTAAAATAAATTGGAACTATAACACAATTTCTAAAAATGTATCTTCCAAAATATTCTCCAAGAAAACTCCTTGCCTTCATTCTCAGCATTTTGTATAATGGTCAGGGCTAAAGTGGATGAAGCATCAAGTTTTCAAACACAATCCTTTTGGTAGTGTTGTGTGAGAAGATGGCCTGAGAGATTCTACCCTGGGAACCCAGAGGTCACCAGTAAGCAAGATAATAGTTCATAGACACTGAACTGATACATTTTAACTTAATCAATAAATCATGTGTCATTGCAGTATCTCAGCCTGAGGTGTGGCTTATCAACTTAGGATAGGAGAGGGCTTGTCTTCAGTTGCTAAGCAACACAAAAAGGCTTGGAAATCAGGTAAGGCAGTGAAGATGGGGTTGCACAGAAATTTGCTAAATCCATTTCTCCTGCTTTAACACATCAAAGGCTATGTTTTTCCTCTAGTGCAAAGGAGATGTGGGGTGAGTGGACTGTTTTTAATAAGCAAAGTTGACAAAGGTAAGAAAATATACAAAAGACCTATGCGAGAGCTAAAGAAATAGATATCAAACAGGTGATCCTGAGGGTCACCAATCTAGAGCTATCCTAAATCCCCTCTAGTCCCAGAACCAAGAGGCTCAACATGGGCTGACTGCAGAAGGGTGAGGTCACTCCTTGGCAGAGGCTGGGGCAGGCCACCAGGCTGCATGGGGTGGTGGAAGACTCTGAGAGGGCTGTAGCCCACAGGAGCTGAGATACAGCCTTCACCACGCTGAGAGGTCGGCCCACGGGCTCCGGATTTCAACAAACTGTAGCCAGGAATCTTCCAGATGTACAAATGACCTGTTCCCAGAGAGCAAAGGGCAGAGAGGCCCCTTCCCTAGGACCCCACCTCATCCCCTTCTGCACTGGGATGCGTAAAGCCTCTTCTCCTTCAGTCTAAAGCCATTTTAAGGATGAAAGAGGAAGAAGATGCCAGCCAAAAGACAGTCTAAACTTATTTAAATAAAATTTCAAAAAATTCTGAAAATAACTATTTAAATTATCAGCTCAATTGGATGTTTGAATATTTATGTAACTTTCTTCTCCCAGATAGCTAGTTGGAAGGACCTTAATATAATGTTAAAATTAGTTAAAACCCAAATAACAGAATGTTTTCTCTGCACATCTAAGTTATGAATTCAATTTGCCACCTTGCTATAGCTTTTCAAAATAAGAAGACAAAAGTCCAGCTATCTTTATTCATATTGAGATAAAGTACAGAACTACAAAGCCTAGAATTATAGGACATTTGAAGGTATTTGAGGCACACACACACCCTGCCTCTGGTTCTGGAATCACTGATATTATCTGCCAGAAAAACAATCCTTTCCACTTACTTTGCTATGAAAATAAAATGGCTCTAAGAAGCTTTTAAGTCTGTTTTTAAAAATACTCCCCTCGTACCTTCTTAAAATTTCTTCCAGGGATGGAAATGGCCATTCTTGAGCAAAATATAAAATATGTCTTTCTTCACTTATGTTGAAATTTGATTTTTGTATTTCTTTCACCCATTGCCCTCTGTAACATCTTTAGGCAACCTCTCTCTCTCTTTTTATTTTTTTCTTTCATTATCTTTCCCTGAGATGTAAATCAGCAATTACTTAGCTCCCACAACAAAGTCTGAGGTCATAAACGTGGGCTGAGGTGATTTAATCTGTGAGAGACTGAAATATCATCCAGTTAGTTTGGTGACAACAGGGAAGCATAGAGAGTACAACCTCATACACAGCTTCTGACTCAGAATGACTCCAAATTTGTTTCTTTCCTCTCTCTCTCTCTCTAAATTAACCGACTTTAAAAAATAATAATTCAAAGTTACAATGTCAGTCTTGGTAAAAATGTCCAAAGGTAATCTGAAATCTTTCTTCTTAAAACTCTAAATGGAACATGAAGCAACAAGCCAATGAGCATGTGCATGTGTTTGCAGGTAATTCGTTGAAACAGTAAAATTAAAATGGCAAAGTCAGACAACTTGAAACAATATAATACATTTGTTTATTTACTTACAAATACAATGGTAACAGGCTAAGAGCACTAGATTTGTATCCTCTTACGAGGTTAATGATCAAGATTTTGATTTGTAAATTTCACTGTGCTTAACCATTAAAAATCTATTTTCCAAAGGAATAATAATTAATATGCACTATTATTAAGGGACAAAACTAAACTTTCTGATTTAGCATATTTGTTCATTAGATTAAACTAAACATAAGGAGCATTTTAACTTTCAGTTGCTGCTTTCAGAAAAGCACAATATTCTTGAAGCAAATATACAAAAACATCTTTTTCCATAGGGCTTTCAACCATCGTTTATCATGTCAGTGATAGAACCCGAGGGCCCCAGATCTACTATCTCGGTCGATCGTTGTAATACACTCTGGCTTACTTAAGCAATCAACCAACAAACATGTATTTAGTGCCTACTATGTACAAGCCAGCATACTAAAGCAATACAGAAAATACAAAGAAGTAAAATTATTGATCCTTGCCCTGCTCAGACTTCCAATGTAGTTTGTAAGATTAAACATAGACACAAATTACTCTATTTTCAATATATTTTAAAAGAATAATGATATGAACTACACTGTATGTTTGAATCACCTATGCTGCAAACCAGAGGAATCAGGAACATAACCAGGGACATTTTGAACGTGGATTAAAGTCTGTCTGAATCAGATTTCTCAGTTCCAGGTTCGAGTGCTGCTTGAATCCCCTTATCTGAAAGTGTTTCAGCCAGCCTTACACTTGTCACTGTTAGTGGCTATATTTGGGGACTTTTTCACGGAATCATGACAATGGAGCAAGATAAACAAATATATATATATATATTAATGTGAGAATATATATTATATATTCAAATCATATATAGGGTGATGTTGAAAGCAAGGAATACAAGACTTTTCACTCTGCATGAGAGGAAGCTAAACCACATAATCATTATTTATTATAAGACGAAGGAGAGACTACATAAGAAAAGTATGAAAAAAACTCTAAACTTCCCAAGATACAAGCAAAAATTGAAAGGCTAGAAGGAAAAGTAAGAAAAGAGAACCCAGCAAAGAGGAGAGGTTTTGAGGGAGCCTTGGGGAAAGAACACGCTCCCCCCACCCCCAACGCTCCACAAATAAATATGTTAAACAATAAAATAACATATTAGGCACCGCTTGAAAGGGGCAACCCTCAGGGGCCTGGCAGGCCCACTCTTCTAGCCTGCAGGTGGCGGCGACACCGTAGGGATTGGCCAAGGCTCTGTAGGCGGTACCCGAGCAAGGTTCCCGCCCCGGTGCCTGGTCTTCGAGATAAATCGGAGCAGGAAACTGAGTCAGTTTACTCTTAGATCTGCACCTACAGGCGTTTGTGTGAGGGAGAAAACCTAGTTAGTGTAGCTGCAGCCACTCTTCCAGGCGGCTCCGGGGAGAAGTGCGCCCTGCCTTTCTGGCCTAACTCAAACCAAGGTCCCGGAGTGCTGGTCTTTGAAACTTAAAGCGCCAGTTGTGAGCAGGGCTGGAGGGGGTGGCTTCCATTACAGCCCCCCTCTCTGCTCCCAACCTGGGAATCTAAAAACCTTGTTCTCAGCTTTTATTGGCTCCAAATGGGGGGTTCAGATGGGGACTGCGCAATGCCTGGGGTTCGAAGCGCGGGACCGATTTTACTAAGCACCTGGCTCCGCTCTGGGGGGAGTGGGAGTGGTGGAGGAGCTCCGAGAATGACGCACCTTCACAGGAGAAAAGACCAGCTGCCTCGAGTTCACTCTCAAATCCGTCTTCCCTTAAAGTAGGGCTGCGCAAAGGGAGAGCGGCGGTTCCAGACTCCGCTAAGGGCACCAGGCAGAGTCTGGCAAGCGAAGGGGCGCGGCAGGGAGGGGCTGAAGGCCAGTTGGGAACTCACCCCTAGGGAAACCCGTGGCGGAAACCGTGGCTCGGCTTAAACAGAAATAATGGCTGGCAGGTCAGTCTGAGTTGGCGACGTTAATGAACTCACGATCTTCACCCGCAGGACTGCGCGGAACAAAAAATCGAAGTTAGGGAAGCACAGAGGGTGCAGAAGTTCAAGCGCAGTGTAGGAAGGCGGGAGAGTAGGAGACAGTGGAAAAAGGAGCCCGCAAGCCTTCCCAGTTTAAGACCAAAACACCCAATTCCACCTTTGTCGCTCTTCTTTCCCGGGTCTCTTACCCGAAGAGTCGGAGTGCACAGTGTGCTATCCCAACTTTGCCCCACCGCACGCTGACCCCTAGGATACTTCCACCTCTCACACCCGGCCTCCCTTTCTTCTTATCCTCCCCTGAGTGGCCCAGGCTCAGAGAGTCGTGATCCGGGACGTGCAGGTGCCATTACGGAAGACGCCACCGGACTCCAGGTTCTCCTGCTGGAAGTCCTCCACGCTGTACGCGCGGCTCTTAAGGGCGGTGGCGTAGTAGTCGACCGGCTCCTCCGCGGCGTTGTCCATCCAGCTGAGGCACAGGATGCGCTGGAAAGAGCGCTTGAAGTTGTCCGAAAGGAAGCCATAGAGGATGGGGTTGGCGCAGCTGTTGGCATAGCCAAGGATGACCGACAGCTGGCTCACTGTGGCGTCGTCCTGCTCTGCGAACACATTTACCAGCTGCACTACATAGAAAGGCATCCAACAGATGACAAACACCATCACCACCATCATCACCATCAGGGTGATCTTACGCTCTGAGCGCTTGCGCTGCTGCCAGCCGGCTTTGAGAGCTACCATGCGCATTTTTGCGATGATCAGCACGTAGCACAGGCAGATGGCCCCGACGGGCAGCAGGAAGCCCATAAGAAAAGTGTACAACACGAAACCAACCAGCCAGCGCTGGGCAGGTTCGGGCATGAGCATGTTGCAGGCCACTGTGCCGTCACTGTTGGCCGCTGTGCGTGAGAAGACCACGATGGGCAGAATAACCAGCAGCGACAGCACCCACACCCCCAAATTCACCACCTTGGCCACGGTGGGCCGACGGTAGCGTGCTGACTTGATGGGGTGCACCACGGCCACGTAGCGGTCCACGCTGAGCACAGTAAGACAGTAGATGCTGGTGAACATGTTGACTGCGTCCACACTGAGCACGAGGCGGCAGAGCAGCGCGCCAAAGGGCCAGTGGTGAAGCAACGTGGAGGTGACTAAGAAGGGCACGCTGAGCATGAGTAGCTCATCAGCAATGGCCAGGTTGAGGATGTAGATATTGGTGGCTGTCTTCATCTTGGCGTAGCGCAGGATCACGTAGATGACCATGGAGTTCCCACACAGCCCCACCAGGCACACCACGGAGTAGATGAAAGAGATGAGGATGGCGCTGCCCTGGCCTTCACTCACGGTCCCGTTCTGGGACGCATTTCGCCCGGGCTCCTCCATGCCGTCCGCAGCGCCGGCCCCGGGGCCCCTGCCGCCGCCGCCTTCGCCACAACTGCCCGGGCTGGGGCTAGGAGAGGAGGAAGAGGAGGTGGTGCCATTGGGGAACATCTCCGCTGATGGGGGATGATGGGGCTGCTGAGGCTGGGGCGCTCTCCTGCGCCCCGCTGCTTGCGCCCTCACTCGGCACCCGGGCCTCCTGCCAGTAGCTCACTGCCGCGGGACGCCTGGGAGTAGCGCACAGCGGCTGCCGGTAGCTCGGCTCTGACCCGCGCCCGCGGGGCTCATCGCCCAACCGTTGCCTGCGCGCAGCCCCTTGCGGCTCCCGGGAGTCTGGCCACACGCGAGCGTGGAGAGGGGAGGCCGGGAGACCGGAGCCCAGAGCTGCACAGCCATTAACTGGCGCGCTCTGGGCTGGTGAATGATTAATGGGCACCACCAGCGCGTCAGCAGCTACGAAAAGGGAAGGGGAGTGGAGGGGAGAGGGAGGAAGGCAATATAGGAGCTTATCACCCCTCACCCATTTTTTTATTTTTCCCAGTCCTAAGCCTGGTTCAACCCGAGCAGTTGCTTCCGGGGCTCCCCTGCAGCACCCTTTTCCCATCCCTCAGGGAACCTGGAGAGTTTCTCCGTCTTCCTGGAGGGTGGTGGGAACCAAAGGTGTAGATTCTGTCCCATCCCACCCCTCCCCTATCCACGGCAAAGACTGAAGCGGACCTCAGACATAGGTGTCTGGAGTTCCTCTCAGTTACCCCCAGCTGCTTTTCCGCTCTGAGGGACCCCCTAACTCCGCTCCGGTCAATGGTCCAGGGCCCTAAACCCCATCGTACGCCCCGCTTGCCCTGCTCCTCAGACTCGCCGCAGGCTCCCAGCCCTACTTACCTAGGGCGCGCTACCTCCGGCCCCACGCGGAGATAGCCGGTGCAAAGTGCCTGTGTGTTCTGGTAGCGCGATGACGTTCTTCGTGCGGTCCAACTCCTTTTTTTTTTGGACGGGACCCCAACACAGGCTCCTACGCATATACTCTGCGAGTCACGGAAATTGAACCTAAGCCGGAGCCTTGGGAGGAGGGACAACATGCGTTAGGGGCTTCTGCGTTACATCACCGCGGGCAGCTCTTCGCCGGCGGGAGTGTTCAAGGCTCTGGGTAAACGACTGCAAATCTCTTATTAAAGCATGTAGTGCCCAGAGCCCGCTACGACTCCCTAGGGAATATGGACTGCAGAAAGGAGGAAGCGCGGCTGAGGCGCGGAAGGAGCCCGAGGCTCGCTGCAGAACGCGCCAGGCGCGGTATTGGAAATCCATCTAGGTGTTCACTGGGGAAAGATACCGCTGCGCCGCTCGGAAAGGCTCCGCCCGCGTCCCAGCTGTACTTTGTACCCCGGATAGTTGGCGGGCTCCAGGGAAGAAGAGTGTAAAAACCTGGGCGAGCAGGGATGTCAGCTCCTCTAGACCCACGAGGGGCCAGCCGTGCAGAAGACCAGACCTGTCGTCAACTCTGGGAAGGGCAGGACGGCCTTCGGATTTCACGACCTTTTCTGAGAGCCCTGGAGGTGAGACCCGGCTCCAATGTACGTGCCTACACCTCTAAGACACAAAAATCGATGCAGGCAAGCCTAAAGCTCGCCCACTTCATTTAGGAACTGAATCAATTGTGTGTGGGGAAAATAAGAAAGAAAAGTTCAATTACCATGATTTTTAATGACTTCTGGGACTTCCCACCATCTCTAGTCTAGGTTCCCTTTGGCTTTCCAATCGTTTCAGTCCAAGGAAGAATCACTCCATCCAACTATCCTATTCCCTTTCGAGAGCTCTTCACGTCTTTATATGAATCATGCAGGCTCCCAGGAAGGCTGACCTGCAGAACCTAGTGCTGGTCCTCTTTCAAGCTTTAGCTTTGTCTCCTGTTTCTTGTTCCTCCTCCTTCTCAACCAGAGCACACCCACAGCGCTGAGAGTCTGTTTTCTATCCCATCAGTACAATTTTCACTAAGGAGAGGCAAACTTAAACAGGAACTAAACTCCTCATGGAGGGTATTTGTACCACAGTCCAGAATGCAGAAGGGGATGTAGAAATAGAGAAAATTTTTTTTTAAAAGTACGATTCCCATTGCCCCCTTATTTTATCAGGGGAATCGTTTGCATATATGTTTCAGTTCTCAAAACTAAGTGCTCAGGCAAGAAAAGGAATAGCTTCTGTAGTGTGTTGATTAGAGAAATTAGTGATAAAATAAATGATGACAGACTCATAGGAATATGTGCTATGGACACTGAATTATTAATGAGAAATGTGCTAGGAAGGAATTTGAAATTTCATAAGGCCCAACCTGTTTAACTCATTGCTTTATCTAAACAAATTACTTTATCTAAAATGAAGTATGGAATTAGTGGTTAGTTGTTTGTTTTTTTAATACAGCACATATAGAGAAAAAAATGAATGCTTATTGGTGTTTTGTTTTTTCAGTCCCCCCCCCAAAAAAAAAGCTTTTTTACTAGCCAAGCCTTATAATGGTTTAAATGCCTCTTTGACAATCATTGACTAAAGACACCTGACTGTTCCTCAGGGACTGATATTTCAAGTCATTTAGACACCTGAGTGTTAATCATGGTTGCTGTAGGGGGAGTTGGTGATAGGAGCCTATAAAACACAGCTGTTGTTCAGAATCTCCTATGTTCACTTTGCGGCACATCTTAGGAAGAGCTTTCTATTTAGTAGTAGCCTAATACATAAAAGAAGAAAACTTAAGAGCTGACATGTACATGCTTTTTTGTTTCTGAAGTGGTTTCTATGATGAATTATTTATCCATAAAAAGAGATTGAGAGAGATACCACTTTACACTCACTAGGGTGGCTATAATTTTTTTCTTTCTTTTTGAATAGCAAATGTTGTCAAACATGTAGAGGAATTGGAACCCTTATATGTTGCTGGTGGAGATAAAAAATGATGCAGCAGCTTTCGAATGTTTGATGATTCCTCAAAAAGTTAAACATAAATTGTCATATGACCCAGCAATTCCACTTATAGGTATTTATGTCCCATCTCCCAAAATGGAAAACAGATGTTTGAATAAAAACTTGCACTTGAATGTTCATAGCAGCACTATTTATAATAGCCAAAAAGGTCAAACAGTTCAAATATCCATCAACTGATGAATGCATAAACAAAATATAATAGATCCTCACAATCGATTATTCATTTGTAAAAAGGAATGAAGTACCAATACAGGCTACAACATAGATGAACCTTGAAAACATTTGCCAAGTGAAAGATGGCAGGATACATATATCGCCTGACTCCATTTATATTAAATGTCCAGAACAGGCAAAGCAGATTAGAGGTTGGCAGGGGTTGAGGGGGAGAGTGAATGGGGAATGACTGCCTAATGGAGATGGGGTTTCTTTGAGGGGTGATGAAATTTTCTGAATTAGACAATGGTGGTGATTACACAATATGGTGCATGTACTAAAAGCCACTGAATTGTACACTTTAAAAATGGTTAAAATTATGAATTTTATATTATGTAAATTTTACTTCATAAAAAGAGATTGATGCCTGGCTGGTGTGGCTCAGTGGACTGAGTGTCGCATGGACTGAGAGGTCCTGGTTCAATTTCCCATCAGGACACGGGCAGGTTTTGGGCTCAGTCCCCTGTAGGGGGCATGCAAGAGGCAGCTGATTGATGTTTTTATCTCTCTCTCCCTTCCTCTTTCTCTGAAAAATTAATAAAAACATAGTTGTTTTTTTTTTTAAAAAGAGAGAGATTAAGATGGATATGAGCCATGCAGTGTTGTCAAACTTTCAGTCATGTATTTTTTAAGATTGTATCTGTGAACTAATCCATGAACAAACAAAAACAATCAAGCAAAAGGCAGCACTTCTGGACTAAACAACATGTGACTGGGGTTGCAGCTGTTTTTAAATAATATGGAGAGCAGGAGCCCAGTTAAGAATCAGCCTTCCCCTTAGACCTCAATTTGATGTGCACATGTCCTGATGACCCAGGGACACTAACGTTGTAATGTGGAAGGACATGGCCTATGAGAAGTCAGGACTCCACCTCTTCATGTCTTATTTAAAAACTTAAAAAAAAAAAAAATGTACGTATCTAAAGTATCTAAAGCCTTGAAAAGCTTAGCATAAGCTGTTTTCTCCATGACAGTTACTAATCCTGCAGTCCTCACTTCTTTAGTTATTTACTGTCTTTCCTATGCTGCTGTGGCGGGAACATTGAAGACTCCAGCGAGGAAAGAAGATGACTTTCAAGAGGGAAGAATGAAAAGTCGTCAATGAGAAAGTTGCAGATTCTGAAGAAGATTGATTTCCTTCCCCCATCTCAGTTACTTCCTACAAGCCACACTTCCCTGTGCTATCATGTGCCAGGTGCACACTTTGATTACTGTATTTATCAGTGTGTTGTGATTTTTTTTTGTGTCCTTATCTGTCCCCCCTTCTAAATCTGTACGTTGGTTGAGACTAAGGACTATGTATTTTTTAATCATATCCCTAGCACCCAGCAAAGCACCTGCAAAGTCACTCAACACCGCTTTGTTTTATGTTTCCCAGGAATTCCATGAATAGTACCTTCTTTTTTTCTAACCCATCACAGGTAGATGCAGAGAAATCAACTTTAAGCCTCTTGCAAAAAAAGCTTTTAATATCTGTGTAACATCATCATCTATAATAAAACCATATGCAATTAAATCATTCTGAATAATTTCCATTTGCATGTCCTATATCAACAATTTTCATGCTAATGACTCATTCATTGATCATTCTTGGTCTTAAATTTCTTGGCGGAGAAAGGACGCTGGAAAATGGTAGTACATACTTTAGTAGCTAATAATGGTTATTTAATAGTATCATGCAGTGTGAAAGCCACTATACATGGAAGATTGTTTCTTTTTAACTGCAGTCCTGAGTCTCAGTTGGTTTGGTAGAATAGTAATTATCCGGAACTCAAACTCCAAATCTGTCAAAATCATTATTAATGTGGGTTTTCCAATTGGAGCTTATGGTGATTCTCAAATGAGCTCCTCTAATCCATGCCAGTGATAAAGGGCTGGCAGCCACTAGAGATTAAAGGGAGTAACTCCTGGAACATAGTCGGCAT